TTTTTCATTCGGAGAAGAATAGCTGAAATTTGACAATCACCAGCTAAAAGCAAAAACAAAATACAGGTAATTGTTGTATTTGTTGAATCGATACCACCTTATATGAATTCGCCTTGTAACGTACCTTGGTAAAAAGCGTTTTCTAAAGGTGTTCTTAAACGATATGTATTTGCATGCCACCTTTTAACCGACTTCCAAAAAAGGAGGAGGTTATCAGTTCATCGGAATATTTTTATTTTTTTTGTATGCATGTCAACCGATTTCGAAAATTCTTTTTGTCGGAGGTGGTCCCATACTAATCTGGTTTAGATCAGATCATTGGATCATGAAATATGTATATATAGATATATATATTTTTTAAGTCGGTTGTTTTTTGCTAAAAATTACTTGTTACATATGGAAATGCCAACATATCGTGTAAAGGCAAATTAGATTTGTTTCTGTACAAAGCAGATGCACGTACATACGAAATAGAAATGTTTCTATTTTCATCTGACACACAAGTAGAATCATCTGAGTTAAGTTTATTTCTTTTTCAAAGATCGTATTTTTAAATAGTTAAATAAAGACTGTGAATTTGACAGACATACACAATTACATATGTATTGAAAAAGTCACATTTACAGATGCAAATACATATAGTTCAAGAATACCTTAACATTCATGAGTACGTAAACCCTTTTAAAAACTAACGTAGCCAAAAATTCCTTAGCTCGAGAAGTCATTTAAAAATAGTTTTATATAAACACATAAATGGGAGATTCTAGGATGTCAAAAAATTCTAAACATGGTTTCGTGAATTACTCGACCAGACCAACACTTAAAAAGTTAATTTTTCGTTTTACATAGTGTTATTTATCAATAAACGGGGGGTACTTACAATTTTCTATGGTCTGTACATTTCAGGAATGAGGAACCGTGCAGTTGGTTCTCATGCCATGAACGATCACTCGTCGCGTTCACACACAATGCTCACGGTGCACATAATTTCTGAACAACAAACGGATGGTGGAGTGTTTATTTCGAAGCATGGAAAAATAAATTTTGTGGATCTGGCTGGCAGTGAACTTACCAAGAAAACACTTAGTGAAGGCAAGACGCTGGAGGAAGCAAATAATATTAATAAAAGTTTAATGGTTTTAGGTAAAACCACATTTTACTTGAGGATAATATGGAAATCAGTAAACATTTTTATTCCAGGATATTGTATTGCTTCATTGAGCGACAATAAAAAACGATTCGGACACATTCCCTATCGCGATAGTCAATTGACCAAATTACTGGCTGACAGCTTAGCTGGTAACGGTGTTACACTGATGATCGCTTGCGTCTCTCCAGCCCAATACAATTATGCTGAGACTTTGAACACTTTACGATATGCGTCCAGAGCCAAAAGGATTCGCACGAAACCTGTCATTATGATGGATCCACGCGAGGCGCTTATATTGAGCCTCAAGCGTGACATAAACGCTTTAGAAATTGAAAATGATCATCTCAAAGCTGCGCTAAATTTGCACCATGATTTTATGAAGACACCAAACGGGGCGCAACAAAATGGTGAACTATTAGAATTGCATCTCGAACGTGTAGCGACCGGTGGTATCGAGGTACCGAAAGTAAATCTGGAACGCTTAGTTGAGTTAGATGGTAATGAATTGGCTGAACTGGTGAAACTGTATATGCAAGAGAATGAAGCTTTACGACAAGAAAACAATCATCTATTCACTGTTCGTGAAACCATACTCAGGGATCAGGAAATTGTATGTCGCGAGAATGAACGATTGCTCAAAAAGCTCGAAGACGTCAACAAGTAAGTACAATATAAGTACATACATACTTACATTCATAAGCACGAATTTGTAATTTATTCAGAAAATACTGAATTTTAGAAAAGGTATTTAGTAGAGTACGACCGATTAATCGGCCGATTCCGGAGCTAGTATAGGCCAAAAGAATCGGCATCGGCCGTTTTTGGCCGATTCTTAATGAGGTTATGTAATTTAGTTATTTCATTATGTTTTTATTTTGTTATTATAAAAGCTTATAAAAGCATTTGTTCTTGAAATGAATTTAATTCAGGATTTAACCGACCGCAGTATCGGCCGATTCTTTGCCGATTAAATCCTGAATATAATTTCATTCTAAGAACAAATGCTTTTATAAACTTTTATAATAACAAAAGAAAAACATAATCAAATAACTAAATAACAATACCTAATTCAAGAATGGGCCAAAAACGGCCGATTCCGATACTTTTGGCCGATATTAGCCTCGGCATCGGCCGATTCATCGGTCGGACTCTAGTATTTAGCCATTCCCTATGTATAAGTCTCATTGTTCTTCTTCTCCTCTCGTTCTAGATCGAGATCCGAGACGTCGAGCAATGAGTCGGATACAAAAGAAACAGCCGTACAAACAAAATGAATTGAAGCTTAGAAGCAATGTAGTTAAATATTCAAAACGCACAATTTTTATTAAATATAAATATTTATGTACATGCATATGTATATGTATGTATGTAAACATATATGTACAGTGGAATCCCGATAATTCGTTTTAGCAAGGGACCGGTAAAATTTCATGACCGAATGAGGTTTCTGAGTTAACGAGATTTCGATTTTACCTGACAGGAAAAAATACATATATACAAAAAATTTCAAACAAAAAAGTTAACGGTAAACGTAAACGCTATACTACTATCACCTGTTTTTTTTCGAAGTATGCCTATGCACAACTGCATAAAACTTTTTTTGCATTGCGATTTAAAACAGGTTTTCAACAACAAATATTTGTTATTTAATTTTAACTATGTTTTTATCCGCAGTAGTATAAGGGTTATCAGTGCGCGCTACCGGGATGGTAGGGTCGTTTCAACCTAACATCACAAAAAAACTGGTTTAAATTAGCGCTTGCTCCTCGGCAAACAATGGAAAAACTGCCATTGAAAACAGCTTCTCATAAAAATACAATCGCCGATCGGAGTCGGCGTAAAACTGTAGGCCCCTCCCCTTTGTGTGACAACATCAAGGCGCACGCCACAAATCGGAGCTAGGCAAAACACTAACATATGTGTAAACTCCAATCTTATTAAATATCATTATTATTATTTATTATTTAACAAATTCCGGATAAATTCAAACTTTTTTTGTGGGGAGTGATATACATATGTAGTATAATGTAAATACATATGTATGCAAATATACTTACCCTGCAAACCATTTTTTCAGAGTATTCTGCATTGTAAAGAAATTTTAAAGAATTCGTTAAGATTTAATTCGATTTTTTGCCGAATTTTCTAAAATGAAATAAATTACGCACACTTCCATTCTTTTACGAAATTTCGGGAGAAAATCTGTGAAGCAACGAAAATAATGGTGCTATGTGAAGAATATCTTTCAGAATTTTTCCAGAATTTTTTTTATTTTTCGTACAGAAATTTCTTTACGAGTTCGTGTCAACCACTTCATATAATTTTCTTTGAAAATTCGTAAAGAAATCGTTACAGAAATGAGATACTCCTAACGATTTCCTTAAGATTTCGGGAACTTTGGTTTGCAGGGTACATACGATTGAGTTTCTCCAAAACCTCTGAAATTGAGGAAATACACATATTGCTTTGAACAAACATATCGTACTTCGGGAAAATTGTATACCTTCACGTTACAGGGCACGTTCTAACCACTTATTTTTAATAAACGATAAAATTTGAAAAATTTCAATCTGAAATCCTTGCACAAATTTTTAAGATTCCTACAGCTTTCAAACGCGCATTTCATTTTTGATTTTATTAAAATTACTGATTTTTCGTTTTAAAATCCGTTGTTTGAAATTTTTTCAAAGGCAGTTGAAAATGTTTTTTTTTTAAGGCTGGTGGCTTGATTTTAATAGAGATGTCATAATGCCAGCAAAAGCCAAATGGCTAACATGGTGGCAAAAATCATTCCTTTTTGTATCATAGGCTTTAGTACAAATGGAAAAATTTTATTTTTTCTCTAGTTTTTAAGTAGGGCCAATGTATGTATATAAATTGTTACGAGTTGTATATTTGGAGCTTTTCAGCCGTTGATTTTAAAGCAAAAACGTTGGTTTTTCTTTTCTGCCTCCTACGCGTTTCGACACATTATTGTGTCTTCCTCAGGGAGTCTATATATTTTTACAAGAAAACATAATTAACAAACGTGTATACCAAAACATGTTTTTCAAACATACCTTAACATAAAATCACATAAAATCACATTAATTATTTTATGGACATCACATTTTTAAATTGACACTTAACATTTAAATACATCAATACTTTATCCCAGCTGTTATTTACTCGCTATTATCGCTGTGTACGCGCAATTTATGTTGTCTACATCTTCTTTGTAATTCATTGCACAGTGTATTTGTTGCTGTATCCGAAGCCCTTCTAACGTCATCCTTTTCTTTGTTTTCCTCTCGATGTCTATTATTCTTGCATTATCAAAGTCCGCTCTGTGCTTGATTTTTGTCAGGTGCTGGGCTAATGCAGTTGTCATCTTTCTATTTTTCACGTCTATTTTATGCTCGAAGATTCTGATAGGGAATTTACATGATTCAACTTTCACAGGCAATTAGTTGAACCAAAAGTTGAACGAAAGTAGGCAGCCGACCAACTTCATTGAAAGCGACTAGTTGAAAGGCCGTTTACACCAAGCGATTGTTGCTTTCAACTAAAAATCGCCTGAAAAATCGCCTCATGTAAATTCCCTATGACTCCTAAAGCTCGCTTCGTCGTTCCTATGTATACCTTGCTGCAGCGTACGTCAGCTTTGCCATTGCATTTAATCTCATATGTATATGACGTTGTGTTGTTGTTCTTTGTTTATTTTGTCTTTTGTTTTGGTAAAAACTGTGTTGAGTGTGCGATGCGGTCGATGCGCAAAACTTATTCAGCCTCATTGCGAGAGTCGTGCCGAATGCAAGTCGTTTTTTCGAGAGTCGAATCGTATCGAAAATTTAGCGTCATTGCCTAAAATTTCCACTCGACTAGTGTATTAAAACGGAAGAACTTGGCAGCACTGCATAGTTTTCGACAATTTTCGTCGTTTACTTATTTCAGCACGACAGTATACAATGCTAATGTTGTCGAGTCGTACAATTCAGCCTAATTTACGACTTACGCAATGAGGCTGATTCTTTCGTTATGTATCAATTTTTCCTAGCGATTTGTTGTCCGTTAAACCTGGTATGTATGTTATGCCAGTAAATATTCTATTATCATTTTTAGTTTTCATATTGTTGTTCGCGCCTTCTATTTTGTTAATTGTTGTTGCTATGAATCTTTCTATGAGCGCGCTAGGGTATCCGTTTTTATATAAGATGGTTTTAATTTTATTCTTGTTCTCTTTTCTGAACTCCTGGTCGCTGACTTTATAAATTTTTATACCCGAGCGCACTTGTGCCCAAGGGTATTATAACTTTGTTCACATAACGGTTGTTTGTAACAGGCAAAACGAATGGAGATAGATATAGACAAATGTATACATAAATGATCAGAATGAAAAGAGAAATCGATTAAGCGGGGACTGTCTGTCCGTCCGTCCGTCTGTGCACACGATAACTCGAGTAAAAATTGAGGTATCTTAACGAAACTTGGTACGTGGACTTCTTTTGGGCATAGGACGGATGGTATTGAAAATGGGCGAAATCGGACAATAACCACGCCTACCTCCCATATAACGGTAATTTTCAGAAATACGAAAAGTGCGATATTTTAATAACTACTAAAGATATTTCACTCAAAATTAATATTTATAATAAGTTTTAGACGAAAAATAAGAATATTAACACATTTTGGCAAATGGGCGTAGCCACGGCCACTTAGGGTTACATGTGTATATCTTGGTAACCGCTGCACCAATTTCTTCCAAACTTGGCACAGTTGTTGGTCCTGGTACAGCATACCAAATGGACAATAACCACGCCCACATCCCATATAACGGTAATTTAGAAAAATACGAAATCCTCGAAAAATCAGTAAATATTAAAGCTAATTTTTTCAAAATTGATGGTTGCAACAATTCTTACCAAAGAAATCTGTTTGTGATACAATTTTGGAAAATGGGCGTGGCACCGCCCACTTATGATCACATATATGTATCTAGGCAACCGTTCTACCAATTTGTACCAAACTCGGTACGGTTGTTGTGCTTGCCACATAAAAGCAAACCGTTAAAAATTGTTGAAATCGGACTAAAATTACGGTCGCTTTTCATATAACGGTAAATTTCAGAAATGCTTGAAATTTCAATATTTCGAAATTTAAGGACGCTAATTTACTTCAAATTTATACACCCCGACTTATCATGTAGCGGTAGCTTTCGGTAAGGTGGAAAACATATATTTAATACTTGCGCCGGGTATTTAATGTTCGGCTCCGCCTGAGCTTAGACTTTCTTACTTGTTTTCAATTAAGTTCATGGCAGTATTTTTCTTTTGACTTCATGGGTGATTTGGATGAAAATTTATCATCCTAGTGAGGCTACAGCTTTAGAATACCAATTCAGTCTAATCTGGTTATTATCTCGATGGATTTCTTTCTTCCACTGTGAATTTAATTTTTGTATGCTCAGCTTTTTTAAATACGTCCGTTTTCTTAATTATGGCAAATATATCATCTACATATTTGTTTATGTATTTTATATATATGCCCTTAGATCTAAGTTCAGCGATACTATCATCCAGTATTTTGTCTAAGACAATATCAGCTACAGTTGGGGATAAAGGGTTTCCCATCGGCATTCCATATATATGCTGGTAGTGTATTCCATCATAAACAAAGTAATT